GGAAAAAGTATGGTGGTTCCTCAAAAAAATTTTTAAAAAAATACCATGTGGTACAGCATTCTCACTTTTGGGTATATATCCAGAAGAATTCCGAGCAAGATCTTAAAGAGATCTTTGCACATTATTCACAATAGCCAACAGGTGGAAGCAACTCAAATGTCTGTCAATAGATTAATAGATAAAGAAAATGTGGTATAATACACACAATGAAATATACAGCATTAGGAAGGAAATCTTTCCACATGCTACAACATAGATGAAGCTTGAGGACATTACACAAAGTGAAATAAGCAAAATAAGCAGTCACAGAAGGACAAATACTGTGTCATGCCACTCATATGAGGTATCTAAAGTAGTCAAAGTTATAGAAACAAAGTAGAAAGAAGGTTACCAAGGGCTGGGGGATATGGGGAGGAGGAATTAGTATTTAGTGGGTATAGAGTTTCAGTCTTGTAAGATGAAAAAGTTCTAGAGATCTGTTGCATAACAATGTAAATTAACATTACTGAACTACGTACTTAAAATGTTTAAAATGGTAAATACAATGTTATATGCTGTTATAACAACAACAACAACAACAACAAAATCCTGCAACCAAATACTGTTTTAGACTTACACAATGTGAAATAATTAATCACCAGAAGGTCTGCATTCTAAAAAATCTTAAAGGAAGAAGTACTTCAAATAGAATGAAAATGATATCAGATGGAAATCTAGAAAAATGAAGAACACTAGAAATGGCAAATATGTAGGTAAATATAAATTTCCTTATTTTAAAAAATCCTTTCAAAGACAAATGACTATATATTATGTGCTTTATAACATGTAGAAGTAAATGTATGACAACAATAACTCCAAGACTAGGAGGGAAGACACGAAGATATAAAATTCTAATACTATACACAAAGTGACATATTACTTGAAAGTAGATCATGATAAAGATATTGTTGTGGGTTGAATTATGCCCTCAAAACATATGTGTAAGTCCTAAGCTTGGTACCTGTGAATATGTCCTTATTTGGAAATAGGGGGTTTGCAAATGTAATCAAGTTAAGATGTAGTATATCGGATTAGGATGAACTTTATCCAGTGACTGATGTCTTTATAATACCAGGTAAATTTGAGCACACAAACACAACACAGAGGGAAAATGGCCACATAAAGCCACAAAGACATAAGGGGAAACACCATGTGAATACAGAAGCAAAGACTGGAATGACACATCTATAAGCCAAGAGACACCAGGGATTGCAGGCAACCACCAGATGCTAGCAGAGAAGGCTCGAACACATTCTCCTTCGGGACCTCCAATAGAAACCAACCTTGCCAATACATTAATTACAGATTTATAGCCTCCGGAACAGTGAGAGAATAAATTTGTTGTTTGAAGCCACCCAGTTTGTGGTACTTTCTAAAGACAGCCTTAGGAAACTACATGTGTGCTATATGTGCTAAAGCAATCATTACAGTTTTTTAAAAGAATTACAACTAGTAGAAAGCCAAAGGAGATGAAATAGAAAAAAATTCAACTAGTCCAAAAAAAGGCAGAAGGAAATGTAGAACAGATAGGACAAACAGAAAGCTGATAGATTTAAACTCTAGAATATAAAAATCATATTAAACATAAATGGTCTAAACGCCCCCCCCATGAAGAGCCAGAAATTGCCTATTTAGACAAAAAACAAAATCCAGCTATATACTGCCTAAAAGAAACCTGCATTAAATCTAAAGACTCAAATAGGTTAAAAGGATAGAGAAAGCTGTGTTGTGTTAACACTAATGAAAAGAAAGTTATCGGAGTGGCTACAGTGATATCAAACAGGCCAGGCACAGTGGCTCATGCCTGTAATCCCAGAACTTTAGGAGGCCAAGGCAGGAGGATTACTTGATCCCAAGAGTTCAAGACTAACCTAGGCAACATAGTGATATCCCATTTCTACCAAAAAAAAAAAAAGTTACCTGGGCATAGTGGCCTGTAGTCCCAGCTACTCAGGAGGCTAAGGCAGGAGGATCACTTGCCAGAAGGTCAAGGCTACAGTGAGCCATGACAGTGCCATTGCATACCAGCCTGGGTGACAGAGTGAGACTCTGATTCAAAGGAAGGAAGGACGGAAGGGAGGGAGGGGGAGGATTTCAAAACAAAGAATATTACCAAAGAATAAGGAGGGTATTTCACAATGATACTGGGATCAATTCATCCTAAGTGTTTATTCATATAATAATGGAGCTTGAAAATAACGTGAAGCAAGAGCTCACAGAACTGAAAAGAGAAACAGAAAATCCCCATAATGGTTGGAGATTTCAATACCCTTCTCTCAATATCAATAAAACAAGTTGGTGGATATTCAGAAAGGATAAAGGGCATGAGACAATTTGTGTTAATTGATGTTTTTAGAATTCTTGGCACAACAGCAGAGTATACATTCTTTGCAGGTACACGTGGACCACTTACCAAGATGGACCAGAATCTACTTTATAAACCGCAATAAGCTTAAAAGGATTCAAATCATACAAAGTATATTTTCTGACCAGAATGGAACTGAATTGGAAACCAATAGCAAAATGGTACCTGGAAAATTGGAACTATTTGAAACTAACACACTTCTAAATCATCCACAGGCTAAAGAGGAAAGCAAAGTGAAATTAGGGAGTCTTTTGAACTGAATTAAATAATGCACAATATTTAAAAATCTATGAGATACAGTTAAAGCATTCCTTGGAAATTTGTAGTACTAAGCATATATGTTAGAGAGAAAAAAGATCTCAAATCAATTACCTCAGCTGTGTTCTTAAGAAATGAGAAAAAGAGGAGCAACTCAAATCCTAGATTAGAATAAGAAAAGAAATAATATAGAACAGAGGGGGAAAAAATGGAAAACAGAAACCAAAATGTGGTTATTTGAGATTTTCAAAAACGCTTGGCGCATTGGCTTACGCCTGTAATTCCAGCACTTTGGGAGGCCGAGGCAGGTGGATCATGAGGTCAGGAGTGCGAAACCAGCCTGGCCAACATGGTGAAACCCCATCTCTACTAAAACTACAAAAATTAGCCATGCATGGTGGTGGGCGCCTGTAATCCTAGCTACTCCAGAGGCTGAGGCAGGAGACTTGCTTGACCCCGGGAGGTGGAGGTTGCAGTGAGCCGAGATCGTGCCACTGTACTCCCATCTGGGCAACAGAGCAAGATAGTCTTGGAAAAATAATAATAATAGTAAACAATTATCAGATCAGCCATAAAAAAGGGAAGACATAAATGACCAATATCAAGAGAGAGGTGTTTCACCAGATTCTACAGATGTTAAAGTAATAATAAGAGAATATTTTTGAAAAATTAAAGCCAATAAACTTGAGAACTTAGGTGAAATAAATAAATGAATATTTGATTCTGTTTTGTGAAGATTTGTGAAGTTCACTCAAAAAGAAATAGATAATTAGGGTAGCCATATATCTACCATGAGTACTGAATTTGTAGTTAAATCCTCCCTACAAGGAAAACTCAGATCCAGAAGTTTTCACTGGTAAATTCTACCAAATATGTAAGGAAGAAATAATACCAATATGAGTAAAACTCTCCAAAAAAATTGACTAGGAGGGAACATTTGCCAAGTCATTCAATAAATCCAGCAATATCCTGATCTCAAAGCCAGATAAAAACATTTTCAGGCAAGAAACTACAGCCTAATACTCCTCATGAACATCCATACAAAAACTTTTGACAAACTTTCAGCAAACCAAGTACAAAAATATATATAAAGAATAGTACCTCATGGCCAAGTGGGGCTTATTCCAGGATTGCAAAATTGATTTAACATTTAAAACATCACTCAATATTTTTTGTTCTGCGAAACCCACAGCAGGAGTAAACCCACAAGTCACAGCAGGGTAATTTCCACAAGGGAGTGTTCCGAGTCATCCTGAGACTGGGCTGGTTGGGATTCAAAGAAAGAAGCAGTAAACACCAGGGTTATCAGTCCAAAACATTTATTAGGGGAACTTTTATATGCATGAACTGCAGCGATCCTCACCACAAACAGCAAGAAAAAAGGATAGAAGTTACAAGAGGATTAGGATATGGAGTTTATATAAGGGCTTAAGGAATTTGGCTCAGGGCCACGGCCAGTTCATTTTAGTGTTTTGGGCAACAAACTAGATAACTTTATCAGTGCCTGGAAATTAAGGTCTTGGTTTGGATTCAAGCCTGCTGGGAAAAATCCACAGCTGGCCAGGTCACACAGCAGTCAAGGTGCTCTGTGATTTTCGGTCAGGACACGGAAAGACGGCTGGGGAACCTGGAGGCCCTACACAATATATTTCACTATATTAACAGACTAAACAAGGAAAAAAACATGATCATCTGAAAAGATACGGAAAAAAGCATTTGACAAAATCCAACATCTGTTCCTGATAAAAACTCCCAGCATAAGAAGGAAAAGAAGGGAACATCTTATAATTTTGAAGAGCATTTACAAAAAAACCTGTAACTAACATGACAATGGTGGGAAACTGAATGACTTCCTGCTAAGATCAGGAAAAGTGCAAGAATGTGTTTTACTGCTTCTAGTCAACACTGTATGGGAGAGTCTAGCCAGATTGGAAAAGAAGAAATAAAATTATCTATGTAATTTTTAAAATCCTATTTAATTTAGCAAGGTTGTAGGTTATAAGATAAAAAAGAAAAAATAAATTGTAACAGATAAGCAATTAACAATAAGACCAGGCAATTTGTCCATTTTGACTAAATTGTTCAACACATTGGGTTAAAGTTGTTTATAATATCCCCTTCTTATCCTGTTAATGTGTGTCGAATTCGTATTAATGTCCCTTCTTTCAGTCCAAAAAGATTTAGTTGGTTGGTCTCTTTTTCTTTTGATTAGTCTTATTAGGACTTACAAATTTTAATATTTTCAAAGAATCACAGTTTGTTTTTTCTCTGCTGTTTTTGTCTTTTCTCTTTATTTCCACTCTTAGGTTTATTCCTTCCTCTTTGACTTCCTTTTGGCTTTTTTTTTTTTTTTTTTTTTTTTTTTTTTTTTTTTAATATTGATTTGGTTGATTTTGCCCTTGATTCTAGGGCATAGGTCTCAGTCATTGGATGTAGTCATTACTTCTAAGATGTTGCTCAGTGGAATGTCCAAAGTCTTCACCCAATCTCTGTAACTTGGAAATATTTACATTTCAAATATTTGAATTTAAATATTTAAATATTCAAAAATACACTATCTTCTCAGCATCAGACAGCTCCTGAAATTTCACTTCAGCTCTTCCAGTCTTTCAGCTGTTGCTGTCCATTGGGTTCTTCAGGTCTTATCACATGCATGTGCTGTTATAATTAATGTCAGCCAAAGATTTGAGGGGATTTTGTTAGACAAATTTTGGAGCTCCCTCCCCTCTCCCTGTGGCTCCCTTTTCAAGGTTCCTGCCCCAATTTCCAGTTGATCTGGCATTTTCAAACTTCAACTTCTGAGATTTCTAGAATGGGAAGAATGCTGCTTTATACTGGCACTCTATTCCCCATGTACTGCCCAGACCAATGCCCTCATGAATAAAGGCTGGACAAATGTGGATCTTACCCAGTATTTTTCCCTTCTTTCAAGAATTGTATACCCTCCTGTGTTTTCAAGCTATTTTGGTTGCTGTCCAGGGTCTTCTAAAAGAATCTCTTCTTTGTCCAACGTTTATAATTGTTATTTGCAATAGAGTCTGTCCAACATAAGCTACTGTGCCATTTCCAGAAGCCAGAAGTCCCTCTTTTATTTATTATCTTTGAGAAATATGGAATCTTCCTGGATCAACTATTTTCAGCAGATTCATGCAGCATTTAAGTCAGAGCCATATCCCACGAATTTTTTTTGGGTGACAGAGGATTTTATAGACAGTCCAGGTAAGAGATAATAGGTAGCAGCAATAAAGGTAGTAACAAGCGGTCAGGTTCCATTTTCTTTTATTTGGATTAACTACTTTATGTGCCAATATTCTGTTACAGAGTTCAGACAAGCTGTACGAAGCTAAATCATCTCTTCTCTTTTGGCATTTCTCAAAATTTTTAAAATCAAAATAATTGCACATTTTTAGAAATAGAGAGAAAAATATGCTTTGACAAATTGTTATTTCCTATTTCCAAAAGGAGCTTATGGTTTTCTGGTGCAAGCATCATAGACATTGAAGATTTCTGGCTACATTTCTGTCCCTTCTCTTCCATGCATAGCCCAAGTTTGGCTAAATTGTTTGACATAAATTTTCATAGGTGCTGTGTAAAGAATTGCTGAAAGAAAGATGAGTGGAATCTGTGAGAATAAAGAGTCATCTCCAGTGCACATTTGACAGATGATTCATGTAAAGAATATCTAGGAAGAAAATAAATAGATGTTCATGATTGATTAGCCCGCAGGAAGTAATGTATATGAACTTAAGTTTCTGGCTTGTGCAACAAGATGAATGGTGCTGCCAAGCCCTGAGACAGGAAACAGTAGATGCCTAGATAGGAGAGGGGAAAACATGTGATTTTTAGCTTTGGAGTATGAGATGTCCTTGAGTTTTTGATTAGGAGTCACCTAACTAATTTCCATCTGCAGTATTGCCTCCATTTTTTTGCTGCACCATATGAATTTCATCAAAGTGTAATTATGAATTATTTAACTCCCATTTTTAATAACCAACATTTCCCAGAAAATAAAGCAAACAAAAGGGAGCAAATTCTTAGTCTGGCTTTTTTTTTTTTTTTTTTAACCTTTTCAACCTTATTGCCTATTATTCTCTACAAGACCGTGGTTTTATAGTTTCTACATAATTAGGAAACACAGACAGTTATAAAGAAGCCCTAGTGAAATTCCATTCAGGCAAAGGTAGTGAACAGAATATTGTGATTTGTTTGCTCAAAACCTTGAGATGAAAAGTAAAGTGAGTAAAGAAATACTAGATGGCTCGGTGCAGTGGCCACACCTGTAATCCCAGTACTGTGGGAGCCAGAGGCGGGTGGATCACCTGAGGTCAGGAGTTCAAGACCAGCCTGGCCAACATGGTGAAACCCTGTGCCTACTAAAAAATTAGCCAGGCGTGGTGGCACACCCCTGTAATCCCAGCTACTCCAGAAGCTGAGGCAGGAGAATTGCTTGAACCAGGGAGGCAGAAGTTGCAATGAACTGAGATGAGGCCATTGTATTCCAGCCTGGGTGACAAGAGTGAAACTCTGTCAAAAAAAAAAAAAAAAGACTAGGAATTTTCCTTCTTGTACATTTTTATGAAAATAAGTCTATTTGTGCAAGTTTAGAAACTGCAATTACAGACTTCTTGGCCCTATGGAGCCTAATGGTCAAGCAACCGTGCAATGGATACAGTGTAAAAAGTATCTGTACAATGCAACACTTTATCACTTGCTCAGAAATTTGAGAGGATGAGAATAATTAAGATTTCTGATATGTGTTATGATCATGTATTTTTTTATTACAGTGAGCTGTGCGTTTTTTGGCACAATGTTTACCTGCTAATTTTAATAGACTTAATATAAAATTCAATCACAGGCATTTTTCCCTTTTATTGGGTTAACTAGTCCACGCGAGCTCAGCAAAGGTTGCAGGGAGCCCCAGCATGGCTGAGAAAGACCTGCTGAGGCATCCACTGGCTACTGGGAGGAGAGCATTAGATGTACCTTCTTAACAGCACTGTCCAATAGAAATATAATGCAAGCCACGTATATAATTTTAAATTTTCTAGTAGTTATATTTAAAAAGCAAGAAGAAGATGACTTCCACCCAACCCTGCTTTCAAATAAGCAGTACACTGGAGGACAATAGGAATCCTCAGAAAAATAACCTCCAGCTCTGAGGTGCTGATTATGGTAGGACAAGCAATACAGATCCAAACACGGCACAGGGAACTTAAGTTCCAAGAGAGAGAAAAAAATCGATAAAGCCAAGAAATAGCTCCCCTTTGACTTATTTTTAACCTGAGTACCCATCTATGTCAAGAGCTGTGCCGTTTTCATATATCCCATGCCAAGATCTTAAGTAGGCTCTACTGACCAGGAAGTTAAGAAACGTGCCCGAGGTAGGTTTTCGATGGAAGAGGCAGACTGAGGGTCACCCAACTTATATCTCAAAATTTCACAATTTCTACAAGCTCTGTCCTGGGAGACAAGGGTAGGTGAAATGAGCACCCTCTGCACCAGATAAACAAACCTCAACGCTTAGCCGCCCGACACCTCCTCGGACCGGAAGTCTCTCAGCAGGAAGCCGCTCCAGGCGCAACCTCCGTCCGGCAGTCCAATTAGCAGCCGCGACCCAGCGCCCGCCCAGGCCGAGTCACGTGTCAGCCAAAGATGGCTGCGCTCAGGCGAGTAGAGCTGTAGTGACCTCCGGCGTGGCTGCGGAAGACCTGAGGAGGCACCCACAGGCTAGTGGGAGGAGAGCATAAGGTACTGGTATTCCGGGGGAGGGGGTGCAGTAAATGTCCCTGTGTCAAGAGAAGCACGGTACGGTGACGCTAGCCACCAGCAGCGCTGCGCATAAATGAGGGCAAGTAGAAGTGGACTTGGCCCTATGGTGCTGTCTCTTCCTTTCCACTCTAGAAGGAAGGATCTCATATTTAAATTAACTCAATCGAAGGGAAAAACACCTGAGATTGAATTTAATCCCAGATTTACTGGCAATTCACAGGGTGACCACGGCCAAATTTAATTTTCAGAGGCCCCACTTTACCTATCTCTCAGATAGGCCCCACATTGCCTGTATCTCTCAGAGCTCTCCCAAGAATGACATGAGATAGCTAACACAAAAATCTTTAGAAATATTTGTAGTTTTAACAGGCGCCGTTGTCTTTGATAGGTATTTGTTATTAATATCGGAGACAAAATGCCCCACAGGAGCTGCCCAGTCAGGACTTCTACTGAATGAAGGGTGACTCAACATACACAGTGTAGAAGTGGATATTTCACAGCACTTTAAACCTCACCAATATGCAGAAAAAAGTAGTGATACCATTGAGCAGAATATGTTAGGGAAATCAGTTATTTCTGAACATATACATTTCATATATGTGTGTGTATATGCATATATTGCTATCAGTACAATATATACATACTGAATTTGATTACATATATATTCCACCATCCCATACGCAAAATCATTCAGAGCTCCTGTACAGCAGGGATTGTCTGTCATTTTAGTGTAGCCAAGGCCCTCAAAAATTGGACTCCCAAAAACCTAGACCTAAATTTTTAATTTACTTATTGGGTTAACTTTAAGTCTAGAGATATGTCAGTGTATTCAGCATTTCCAAATGACCTCTTATCAATATAAAACAGCAATAAATATTTAAACGAGTGCCTGTAATGTTGTAGCAGATGAGAAAATCTGGTTTCATAAAACCATATTTTCTTTGTTGTTATCCCTGAACTTTTGGTTTTTTTTTTTTTTTTTTTGAGAGGAGTCTTGCTCTGTTGCTCAGGCTGGAGTGCAGTGGAGCAATCTCGGCTCACTGCAACAGCTGCCTCCTAGGTTCAAGTGATTCCCCTGCCTCAGCCTCCTGAGTTGCCAGGATTACAGGCGAGCACCACTACACCTGGCTAATTTTTGTATTTTCAGTAGAGATGGGGTTTCACCATATTGGTCAGGCTGGTCTCGGACTCCTAACCTTGTGATCCGCCCGCCTAGGCCTCTCAAAGTGCTGGGATTACAAGCCAGAGCCACTGTGCCTGACCTTTGTTTTTCTTAACTGTTACCCTGAAACCTGTTTAATGAGCCAAATCTTTAGTTTAAAACTCATCATTCACCATTCTCCCACTTTTAATTAACATTTTCATCCTAACTAGTGCATACATCAACAAACTACTGGTATGTAGGCTGGCCATATGCAGCCTATAGCTTGCCTCTGTACAGTCACCCAGCTAAGAATGATTTTTATGTTTTTATAGAGTTTTTTTTTTTTTTAAAGAATATTCAACAAAGGCTATGTTACCTGCAAAACCTACCATATTTACATCTGGCCCTTGAAAGTTTGCTGACTCCTGATCTCAGATATACCTAGAAATGAAATAAGTTTTTTATGTTTAGCACTATTTGTGAATTGTTTAGGAAATAGTTTTAAGGATTATGAAGATATTCTGTGTTTCCTAAAAGCTTTATGTATTGCTTTTCATGTTCTGGTTTCTGTTTCACTTAATTTTTTTTTCATATTTGCAATGATTTTTTTTTAAGTTATTAGTTCTACAGTATTTTTAGTCTTCAGAAGGTTTTTACATTTTTTTCTATAAAATCTTGAGGAATTACATTTCATTTTTTAAGGCTCAAAATGGAAAATTATGAATCCAATAACCAGGAAAACATTTTTGAAATCGTAAACAGAAAAATTAACCAGCTTCCAGAAGCAGAAAGGTAAGAACTCTTCTTAATTTAAAAATACCTTTTATCAGGTAGATTTTCACCAGATTCATGATATCAGATTCATCTGGTATGAGTATAAACATGTAATGTCAGGAGGAAGTTGCCCTTTTCTTGCCTGGATGAGAGCATTTAACCATTTTGCTCAACATCACATAGCTAATTGTGGAAGTTGAGGTGGGAACTCATGTCTTTGGACATTATGTAATTGTATGATTTGAGTTTTTCCATTAGACTTGGAGTATAGTAAAATGTAAACATTTATGGACCAATTTAAATAACAAAACTTTAAAATAACTTTTAAAATGTCTTTTTTTTCCAGTTCATTCTGTCATTGTGGTTGCCATTCCGAGTATCATGGAACACACATAGCAAGATAGAGAATGTCAGAGAAATGAGATCATGGCTAAAGATCTTTAAGATATTATTAAAGAGGGCCGGGCATGGTGGGTCACGACTGTACTTGCAGCACTGGGAGGCCGAGGTGGACAGATCACCTGAGGTCAGGAGTTCAAGATCAGCCTGGCCAACATGGCAAAACCCTGTCTCTACTAAAAGTACAAAAATTAGCCAGGTGTGGTGGCAGGTGTCTGTAATCCCAGCTACTCAGGAGGCTGAGGCAGGAGAGTTGCTTGAACTCAGGAGGTGGAGGTTGCAGTGAGCCAAGATAGCACTGTTGTACTCCAGCCTGCATGACAAGAGCAAGACTCCATCTCAAAAAAAAAAAAAAAAAAGTATTATTAAAGAGAAAAATCAATGTAGGGAACATACTGATCTTTGCCAGGCAACTTCAGTGTACTTTGGTCTCTCTGACTATAAAAGGATGAAAAGGCCACCTGGGAAGGAGAGAGGGACAGTATCTTAAGTAGAAGAGATGGCATATGCCTAGCCACAAGATAGCCAAGGCTTGTGGTACTTGAGTAACCATTGTTTCTGAAGTACTAAGGAAGTGGGCATAAGAACCAGGAAGAGTTTTGAGCAGGGGAATGATGTTAACATTTCTAAATAATATTCCAGCTGCTTTCAGGAAAGCAGATTTGAGGAAGGAGAGAAAGGAAATAGAAAGACCAGTAGAAAAAACAGCATAGTAATCCTGGTGAGTGGAGATCGTAGGGCTGGTGACAGTTGACATGAAAAGAGCATGGATTTAAAATACATTTTGGAAGCATAATCTTGCTATCTTTGGGAATAAAAACTGAACAAATTCCAATCTTGCTGCCACTTATAACTTAATATAAATCAAGACCAGTAGTGTTCAGAACAAGGATCTCTGAGGGGAAGAAAAAAAAAGGCCAGTAGTAAGAACTTGGTAAGATTCGTCCCCTTCCCCACCCGGCAACTCCACTCCCTTGTTTTCCTAAGGCAACAGAAAAACTTTTAAAGCAAAAAGGAACTATGTCCATGTTTCCAGGCCAGCAAGATAGGGAAAGAGAGAAAGACTGACAAAAGAGTAAGGCAGGCACAGTGGCTCACACCTGTAATCCCAGCACTTTTGGGAGGCTGAGGCAGTCTGATCACTTGAGGTCAGGAGTTCAAGACGAGCCTGGCCAACATGGTGAAACCCTGTCTCTACTAAAAATACAAAAACTAGCCAGGTGTGGGGGTACATGCCTGTAGTCCAGGTGTGGAGAAGCTGAGACACGAGAATAGTTTGAACTCGGGAGGCAGAGGTTGCAGTTAGCTGAGATCGTGCCACCATACACCAGCGTGGGTGACAGAGTGAGACTGTCTCAAAAAAAAAAAAAAAAAAATAGATGGTAGCAGCTTTGAAGAGAATAAAGCAGGCTGTCACTAGGACCTTTATCAAATTAGAAAGAATACCTGGAACTGCAAAGTAAAATTTAGTTTAGAGGCAATAAATGCTTTCAATTATTGGCATCTAAACTGGGCAGATGACAGTGTCCTGTTATCTTTGCCTTGTTCCTATTTTTTCTCTTCATTTCCATTTTATCTTCTAAGTTTAAATCCTCATTCCTTCTTGGATTATTAGTTAGGTATTTAACAGTTACTTGGTATGTCCTTCAGTGTATGGAGCTTTCTTATTATCAAAAACTTCATTTTCTGACCTACAGAATGCTTTCATATGCATGTTTGTCATTAAATTTGGACTATTTCATGTCTATTTCTTGTGTATATCTTATCAAAAAGTCATGAGTTTTTAGTTGGTATAGGCACTTTTTTTTGGAAAACTGGCAAGGGGCTGCTAGATAACAATTTTGTGCTAATTTTTAATTAAAAATTTTTTAGCCATGGGAAAAATCTGCTTGGGAGATAGCAAAGTTTGCTATGCAGATTTCACTTGTACTACTATTTATTTGTATATATAACATATTTGTAAACAAATGGATTTATATATAATGTATATATTTTATATACATTATATATGCATATAGGCAAATTATTTACCTGAGCATTGGTTTTTAAAATGGGGATAACATACATTTGACATGATTGTTATGATGAAGTAATATTTTAGAGAAGTGTTAAAAGTTTTTTATTCCCCCAACCCCCACAAAAAGCATAGGCTTTTCACATTTACATGTTTTTTGTGTTTGGTAGGTTCTCCAGGCTGTCATCACTAATTATAATCTATGTACTCTTAAGTTCCTGAACAGCCACCATTACCATTTTGATAGACTTCTGTTATATCTCAAGTTTACGTTATGTTTCTTCTCCAGGAATAGTCAACTATGTAAACCTTGAAGGTAGAAGATAATTTTTTGTGCCTTTAGCACTAAGTCTGCTGCATACAGTGGGGTTCTCAATAAGTGATAAGCATCATGATAACTGCAAAGTGACAGATAAAAAAGCAATACCTTATACAACGTAAGAAGCTTAGAGTTCCTAGAAAAGCTATTTTAAGATGAATGTGAACCACAGAAGTTAGAGGGTTTACTGTGCAGCTACTTTGGCTAGTTAAGAGTAATGAAAATTTTAAGATTGACTGTCTTGTAGATGGCAATGTAATGCAAGCAGTAAAATGGCTAAGTGGTAGTCTCACAAGTTTGGAGTCAGTATTTTCAATATTCAATAATCATGTTAAGTATTACTTTTTCCCAAAACCAAAGAATGCGTAGGACATAGGTTAAAAATTCATATATACCTTGACTTAAAATCCAGTTCTACCAGTATCTCAAAACATCAGTTTATTGCTCATCAATGGGTTTTAACGAAGTACCTAGCATAGGGTATTACTTAAATGTTAGTACTCCCAATCCTGACACTAAGGTTTCAGGGAAGAGTGAAAGAAAACACATCAACTCCACATTATTGAACATCTTCTGTGTCAGGTTGAATACATCTTTGTATCCATTGATCCATTGTCTTCCAGTTGTTTAAAGACAAGTGTGGGAGCCTGACATGTACATCAGTGGTTACGTAAGATAGTACTGTCTTGTAATGCATTGTGCTAGAGGGGTAAGTATTAAATATCATACGAGCTCAGAGGAGAGGCACCTACTGGCTGCTGGGAGAAGAGCAAAAACTTATATATAAAACAACTTTTTTTATGATTTCAGTTCTATAAGGGATAGATGTATCCAGTTACTGTATTCCCAAAGTCCCATTAAGTTCTGTAACAGATGTCAGAATCGGGAAAGCTCATATACACAGTAAGGCAAATAAAAAGTTCATTCTTCTCACTCTTTCAGGAATCTACTTGAAAATGGATCAGTTTATGTTGGATTAAATGCTGCTCTCTGTGGCCTCATAGGAAACAGTCTTTTTCGACGCATCTTGAATGTGACAAAGGCTCGTATAGTTTCTACCTTACCAATGGCAGTGATCCCTTTCTTTACAACACAAGCAACTTACAGAGGTTTTGTAGATATTCCTTTGATAACAGGTAAATTCTAGTTCACTGTCACCAAAAAGTTTGCCTTAGTCATACTTATTAAGTACCTGTATGCTATAATGCAGTGTTTAAATAAGATTAAATCTTGCTAGCCTCTCTATGTGGTAAATAATTCATATTAGCGTGGTCTACCAACCAAGATGCACCAATACAGCAGTTCTAAGCTTTTTTTTTTTTTTTTAAATTGAGACAGAATTTTGTTCTTGTTGCCTGGAGGCTGGGCTGGAGTGCCCTGGATCTCAGCTCACTGCAACCTCCACCTCCTGGGTTCAAGTGTTTCTCCTGTGTCAGCCTCCCAGGTAGCTGGGATTACAGGCGCCCGCCACAACAGCCGGCTAATTTTTTGTATTTTTAGTAGAGACAGCGTTTCACCATGTTGGCCAGGCTGGTCTCAAACTCCTGACCTCAGGTGATCCACCCGCCTCAGCCTTCCAAAGTGCTGGGATCACAGGTGTGAGCCACTGCACCCGGCAATACTTTCCTTAACATATCTTTCTGACAGTGCTCATTTACAGTAAGAAATACTTGGAAATCCATATATGAAAATTATATATATGGAAATATTATATATATATATAAAAAACGTTGGCTACCTTAGATTTTTTTAATTTACATTTTATAAGGCAGTTCCTTAAAGGGAAAAATATTTTTTGGAGAATCAGACTATATAGTAAATCCCTTAAAGCACTAAATGCATATACAATGTTTATCAAATGCATGGAGACTTGATTTACTTTTGAAAATTTACCATGTGTGCTGAACGCTTTGAGTATAGTTAATCACAAAAAATGTTTTGATTAATGATTTCAAATAAAAATATTACCATGGGTGCTAGGGAAGGCAGTCCATTTAAATTTTACTTTAAGTACTGCTCCAAATTTGTTTAAATTGTATGAGTGTTTTAATTCCCATGATCAGTGGAAAGAATGTCTATATCAAGGGAGACCTACTGCCCATTTAATTGTACAGATGAGTGAAAATATTAGCCCAAGTCTGCTGATACAAAACAAGTGCAGAAAGCTAGGACCAGCCCAAACCAAGAGATTATATCTAAGTTCAGAACAAATTAGAGAATTTTTTTTTCTAAGATAGTTTTATCAATCATTCCTAGCTATTTTAAGCTACTCATAGAAGTAATTATACCTTTTAACATGCTTTGTAGAACTGCATTTGGTTATGTTGCCTGAAAAATGTCTGTAATACATAGAAGAGGATCTTACATTCTCTAACTCATATTTGCTTGACTATCATGACCTTCATTTCCAGAACTAATTTATTTCCTAGGTGATATGAATTGCGAAACCTGTACCGCAACACGTAGTGGACTGGTTGGTCTTCTTGCTGGTGGTCTATACCCTGTTTTCTTAGCTTTACCTATAAATGGTAGCCTAGCAGCCAGGTAAGACTGTTTTCTCATGATCAATGAAAACCTTTTTATAATATGTGATTACCTATAAAAGTCACAACTTAAAGCAGCAAATATATTTTCTGTTTTTAAGGCATTTAGGCCAAAGGAAATGTTACCCCAACAAGACATATGTTTTTCTTATAATCAAATTTTACTTCTCAAGAATTTCAAACAGTTCTACTTGGTGTGTAGTTCAGGTTATTAGCCTTAATTTGTGTACTGAATACTAAACTAACTACAAAGCTGCAAACAGCTTTGAAACCTATATCATACAAACAATTTTCTTGGATGAGTTTGATGAACACTTGCAATAAAGGAAAATTCCATCAGAAAATGTCTAGCTGTTATATTAGTAGTCTTCTACTCTAAAATAATTCTGGTTATTCTTTGTTGAACTCTTGCATTAGCGATTTACAATATAGCCTTGAAGCAAAGTAGATAAAGAAACAAAACAGTTTTTGGGATTACTAGACACTGAAGACTTTTACCTTAATCTCTAGTTTTATCATAAGACTTCCAGGACTCATATATATCATAGATAGATAGGTTTGCCACTTGATACAACAATCTTATATAACTATCTCAATGTTTTCTTACAGGTATGAAACAGCTCTGTTACCAAACAAAGGGAACATCTTAAGTTACTGGCTTAGAGTTTCTAAGCCTGTCTTTAGAAAGATGTTATTTCCTATTCTGCTGCAGACTGTGTTTTCAGCATACCTTGGGTCTAAACAATATCAACTATTTATAAAGGCCCTTCACTTACCTGAACCTGGCCAAGAAAATCACTGATTTTAAACAAATATGTACACAAAAATAAAATAGTAAAAACAGTTTATGTATAATGTTATTCATCAACATATAATTCTGGGACCTACAACAAAGGCTACACAGGGCAACAAAAGTGTAAATCTAAATAAAAGCTACCCACTTAAACAAGTTTAACTTTACTAGTCTGCCCAATATTGTCTCTTATACCTTGCTTGCTCTACTTTTAGGCATTGAGTTTGGTAACACAAGAAAAAAAAATTATATAGTATTTTACACTGAAGACTTCATAATAAAAATTTTAAAAAAAGTATAAATACACTATACCAAATGTTACTTATAATTCACTTTCTCAATTCAAATTATTATTAATCCATAAATTCTTAGAACTGATTTAACAACCTTCCTCAGAGGATCAGTCATCTTCTTGAATCATTCAGGCTCAGCTTCAGCTATTATGATATAGACCTAGCTATTTAGAGTCTCCTTATTTGGAAAGCTTTATTAAAATGTTTAGGTAGCCTTTCAAGCTTCCACTTATTTAGAATCACAAAATTAATCTCTCTGACCCTCAATGAAATACCCTAGTTGATTCATATCCTACGATCATTTAAATTTTTGTGTGCTTTCTTCTGTTCTCCTAACGTTTCTCATCCTAGTTCTCTAAACTATTTTCTTTTGTGACAGCAACTGAATCAGCATTGTCCAACAAAGCTTTCTGTGATGATGGAAATACTTTATATCTGCACTGTATGTTAGCCACTAGCCTATGTACTTGCTGGGCACCTCAAATGTGGCTAGTGCAACTGAATAACTGAGTTTTAAATTTTAATCCATTTTAAATTTTCAGCCATGTGACTAATGGTTACAGTATTGGACACCATAGATCTAAATTAACACTTTCTTATGAAGCAAGCTAATCATCACAGAAAAGTTCCAAACAAAATTTTAAGTGGCATCCAAGATTATTCATGAAGCTCTTAACTATTACTTAATGGCATACCTGTTAAGTAATCTTACGCTACTTAAAATTACATATAATAATTTAGAAAAGGCATCTTTGTGAGTGAAACAGGCCTTTAGCTTCTGTTTAAAGAAAAATATAAAGCAGTGCTACAACAGATGAAAAACTCAAGTGAAATTAACAAAATACAATGTTTTTCAGAAAGCAAAGATGAATTTTTCTTTCAACAGGCACATAAAATGTATTATCTACCAAACTTATATAAGAAATCATCTCAATTACGAGGCAGAAGAATCTATATGCACAAAAGAGACTGAAAGGAAGCATGCCAAAATGTTTACTGTGGATATTCTACGGCTTATAGAGTTATAGGGTAATTTTTCACTTCTTCTTGATTCCTTTCTGGATATTCTCAGTTTTCTATAAAAAATATGCTTTGCTTTCACAACTAGGGAAAGAAAGATGTATAGATATATTAACATTTAAAGGGCAAAACAATATAGCTATTGATTTTACAAGCTAAAATATCAAGATGAAAAGCTCCAACTCCAAATCATCCATACCTACATTGTCACTTTAAGGCAGAGTTCTACTCACCACAGTGAAAAAACAATGAATTAAAAGTAACTTCTGATGTTAACCCAACTACAGTGTTAGACTCCTTAATACAGAATGGTGTAATCAACTTAGATAATTCAAAGCCCAATGATATAACTAAGTTCTTTGATAACTGAGCACAAAGTTTCGTTCCTTATCCTTAAACATACCTAGCCTAATTACTCCCTAGCATAATACCATTTATAAATGGGGATGAGTTTACAATGGTTTCTGTACCTAAAAAGTATTTCTAATCTCTGTCGTCTGCCACATATTTTTAAATTATCGTTTCAATTAGTAGAAATGGGCAACATAAACAATCAAGCATGTTAAGTCTGTTGCTACAAATTTACTTTGCCAGAATTTTTGTTTGGAGGGCAGGTTATCTGAATTACTTAAGGGCATTTAGTCATTTGTAGCTAACACCTGAAGTAAACTACCCTCAATCAATTTTTAATATTTCAGTCCAGTTCCAGTAGACAAACTATTTAAATCTTTTATAATTTACTTTGTGTAGTTATTTGGCTTTAAATAAAAAGAGGGCTCACGTTAAATTAATACATTAATATATTTTATAAAGCCCAAACTATAGTACACTAAGAGCCAGAGGGGTCTAGGAAACTGACCTCAGTGGGTAAACAGCAAAGACAAAATTTGAAGGCTGACATTAAAGGAAGTTGAGCTAAATAAAATTCAAATCAGTATATTAACAGAACTACACAAATATTTAAAACACAGTAACTATACTTTTCAATTAGTTCACTGTGAAAACAGCAAAATATCTTTTGAGTCAACAAAAATTATAGGGTATTATAAGACAATAAAGAGTGACTGGTGTTGAGTGATTACTGAGGCTACACATAAAGGTACTGAAATTCAAATCTGAAAAATACTGTGCTGGCCAAACTAACACTACAAATTTCTAATGGAAGAATTCCCGTTTTTGATCCCCAGCTTTGATGGTAAGTAAATTTAAAAAACAGCAAAAAATTTAAACATTGAGGAGAGTCTGGGAGAAAAAAGCACTTACAAATGTCATACTACCAATTAAACTTTCAAGAGTCATCAGATTATTTAGCTTTAAAATGTTACTAAATCAGTGAGACCTTAACTACACATTCAAAATGCTGAACTAGGAATCACATATTAAAAAGATGACTCATAATTACCCAGTCTGTTCTATCAAAGTAGTAGTTAAGGTCACCAAATAATGTTGGTGCCTTTGGTTCTGGAATTATAACCAGCTGCACTATAAGGAACATCAGCACTTAAGTTTTAATTAAGACAGTGGGAATACTTGTTGCCTGGCTTCACAGGCAATGAACACGCTTAAAGTTATAAGAAACTGACTCGTTTTAGTAAATTTTGAATAATATAATAACCAGCTGTTTATTATGAAGTAACAGCCTGTCTCCTACCCAAATTCCTCTTCTATCATCTGCACATTTCCCAAATGAGTAAGGTAAAATGACTCAATCTAAACCAGGTGAAGTAATGTATTAACATAATCCAACAAAAATGAAATAAAACAATCCAGAGTTTTAAGTGTTTTTTCACACTTGTAATAAACTGAAAAAATATTTCAATTAGGTAAAACAACCATATGCCACAAAAAAGCCACTCCCATCATCCAGAATACTAAAACCCTTATACAACACTAAAGTTTTATATAAAACAGTAGAAACTAGCATACCATTAATTAGAAACCTCAAAATATTCAAAAAAAAAAAACAGTGTTGAGTACTTAAGAGAAAGCTCAAGAAGCCAAAACCTCAGAATCTACACATCCTGGTTGTTAACCTAAATTGCAATTAACTACCCACACATTTAATAATAATCAACTTTTTCAAAGATATACAAATCAATGCAGCTATTTAAAAGGACTACTCATAGTTCAGAACTTTACATAAACTTTCATATTCTACTCAGCAGGGTGTCTGTACTCCAAATTAGCTCTCATGTTCAGGAAATAAATACAAACTCATAGGCCTTGTGATCACTGATGGCCTGCTTATGTGATTCTAGTCCACTAAATATAATTCCATAGAATGTGCTCTTGATTATGTAAAAACTCTAATTAATTTCTTGATGAAATACTGTAATTCCCCCAACAGTTACAATTTTTTAAAGATATGCAAAGAACTGAGTATCACTCCCATGAAAGACAAAAAAGGTGTAATTTTGTTCCAAGATTAACTTAGTCTCATCAATCTCTATTAAGTCTTTCAAGGATTCCAGAGAATCTTTTCATATCTCCATTTCTGGAAAGTGAAATCAGTATAGAAGTAATTTGGGAACTTGAAAATGGCATTCATTTTTTTCAGCAGATGCCAAATTTTTGACCGACATGGCTCTCACAATTACTTTGTTACCATCAGTCCAGTCAGTTAACAGGTTGTAGGAAAAGATTCGTTTTTGCAGACACTGCTAAGCTGTTTAAAGAGAAGAGAAAGAGATTAATTTAGTGATTATAAAACGCACAAATATTTAAAATATTTCGAACACTTTTTGTTGGATTATATCAGACGTGAGACTACATTTTAACAAAAGCGGACTTTTTAAGATAATTCTGGTCAAGGAAGTGCAGAAACAGTAAGTCAATATGATAGAAACAGTAGGTCAAAATATGATGTGTTAGTTCAATTAATGTATGAATTCCTGCCACCATCAAAGACAAATACTCAAAAGCTCTATCTTTAGTCTAGTTCTGTATCATTTTACCATAGAGGCACATTTAGAAGACAAAAGGATCGCCCAAATACTAAGTTGTTTTCAACTATTACAGTAAATAGAGCCAAACCTAGAAATTTCAAAAACAATCCATTTTATATTCCAGAAATCTCCTTTATCCATGTGCTAACCATCCAGAACACAATTTTCTAAAAATAGTAAGACAACAGTTTCACATTAATCATAACTTTTTTAATTAACAAGTAGTGAATCAGACACTTTAAGATATTGTTTACTACATACTGAAATAAACATCTGTTTAAGTTCAGAAACCCAAACATTTACAGTAAAATGTGCTTACACATAAATATGACCAAATTTATTTAAAGCCCCTATTAGATCCTAAATACATGCAATTACCATGTAAAAACAAGACCATGAAGTTGATGTAAAAAAATGAAAAAAATCACTAAGACACCAAAACTAGAAAAAAAAAAAAAAAAAAAAAAAAAAAACCAATGAAATGGAAACTGAGAAAAGACAGTTAATAAAACATAAGGAACCTAACACAGCAGCTTTAAAAATAGGCCATACTAATCTTTCCATTTTCAAAAGTTCTTAATCAAGTAATTCCAAAAACTGCCATTTATAAAATGACATTCTAAAAATCTACACTTGGAATTTCAAAGCATCTCAATTCAGAAAGCTTTGACTACTTTTTCTCCCCAGCCCACAACTTCAAATAATGCAGGAAAAGTATTGACGTAAAGAAGAATATTCCAAGAGAATGGTATAGTTTTTAGAAAAATGAACTTACTGCTTTCCAGAACCTTTTAAGACCCACAGTCAGCATTAACAACAATCATTTTTCCTATTTTCATCCATTATTTTCCAATGTCATGTTAGAGATGAATAAATTCTTTGAGCCCATAACTAAAAGATCAACAAACCTGGTTTTATTATGACATCATATTTTTGTCATTGGTACTGCACAAAATTATATACAAAGAAATATATACAAAATGTTCAAGTATTAAATTTCAATTCAAGGCTTCTGTTTCAAAAAAGCTACATTTAACATATTTCATAAAGATAGCACAAATTAGTCATTTCAAATAATCTTTCCAACTACTTTTGGTTTATATATATATATATATATATATGTATATATATATAGAAAAAATTCAGTAGGCACTAAAAATCCATGCAGCTGCATTGTGAGGGGCTTGCTCCTGCCCTTAGATATAAGCAGGTTCATCACTCCAAGTTGTGAGTTTGGCTACTACCCATTCATGCTCAAGTGCAGTAGATGATTTTACAAAATGTGCTATGATGCACTGGAAACCAAAGACCAATTTAGGTCTCAAATCGTATTATCTAGCAACAAAACATTTACAGTTGTGCAAGAACAAGGATTCCATTTGCATAACCAATTAACAACAAGACATTTTATGTGTAAGATAACTTACATCTTTGGACTGCTGGAAAATAGTTTTTAATTATGAACATTTTAAAAAGAAAAGACAGCAGAAGCCCTGTTATTACCTCTTTTTCCTCATTTCTTATACTACCTTTTAAAATAAAGCAGGAAATGTGGCCAGCAGCTGGTCCCGTCTCTTCTGCCCCAACAGCTGTATCCACTTTAGCACAAAGAAAAACAAGGATGCTAAATACGTATATACTTTATCAAGCAGTGATGTTTCACAAAGAATTTCTTAATGCCTCTTACAGTGAAGGACACCATAACTCAATTTATACAACTGGTTAACATATTTAAGGGAAGAATAAATCCCACCTTTGGGGAAATAGCGCCAATAGTGTCATTTTAGTGGCCAGAACCACTGAATTTTAAACATTATTTTTAAATAGGACAAATACTTTTGAAATACAGAGAATAAGATTCTTTGTGAAGCCTCACTTTACACGTTTTCATTCACATTTCACAACCTTCAATATCTAATCGTACATATATAAATTTAACCTAAAATTTTAATACAACAAAAATAAAGATGTTCAACAAGTTATTCATACTCAGTGATAGGGTAATCACTGCTGGTCCTCAAAGAAACATTAACCATTCTCATTCTCCAATTAACTAAAACACAGGAGTCTGGTATGCATGTTAATTTCCAACTTCTTTAACGGTGAGATATTAAAATCTGTTACTCTGAATAGACTTTCTATATCTCCTACTGAAAACTAAAAGGCATTGTTGAATATTTAAGAGATACCTGCCACCTCCAGCAAAATATCACATTTGTGCATGCCCCAAACACTTATTGTCAACCTCTGAAAAGTTGCCCTAAAATAGGAATTCCAATTTGCACCTTGTACAACTCGGAACTTCCATTCAACTTCACCTGTTTCACTGTCTCCAAACTGTATCTCTATAAGCAGCTTTCAGTGTACAGTTGGAATCGATGTCATCCAAGGCCATGTCCACACTGGGGACAGAAGAGCTAGGTACACGCAAGTCTGAATAAGGGGACACATTAATAGCTATTTCAACCAGAAGAGGCATCTTAAAATACATTCTTGACCAGCACAAGTCTGTTTCCAGGGTGGACAGGGCCCAAATTAGTTTCCCTCCCACCTTCCAAAACAGGGAAAAAAAAAAAAAAAATCACACACACACACACATATTGAGATGTTGCCCATTAAAGTAGACTAAGCAGCAGAGCATGAGCGTTACGTGAAGAGATGGATCCTTACCAGGTTGTGAGGCGGGAACGACTGTTCTGTAACCCCTACAACGGAGCCTGGCAGGAAGGAAATCACCTAAAAAAGAAACTGTCAGAGAGATTTAATAGTCACATGTTATCATTAGGAGTTGGTTACTGTGTCACATTCATGCTTTTAGCTAAACACTTTAAGATTCAATAACTACTTTTTTTTCTCCTCTGAAATGTGTCCGGTGAAGATGTCCCACTAAGGTGTTTGACATGGTGTAAGGGAGTTGAAAGGGGTAAACGCGGATAAAGAGCAGATTACTTGACCCTACATTTTAAGAGAAGACGACGCCTTCCGGGCGCACGCCGAGCAGAACTCCACCGACACCTTATCCTTGTCCACATGGAGACAGACTCCTCCCGCCGAGTCGTCGTCCTCCAGTAGGTCCTGCTGCTGCTTTCCCACCGGCAGTGCGTAGTCGTGGTCACCGGCGGGCGAGTCTCTGAAGAGCGAGGTGGTCAGCCGCAGTCCCACGCCGCTCAGCCGGCTCAGCAAGCGAGCCAGTCCAGTCTCGTTGGCTAAGACTGCCCGTAGGTAGCGACTCTCCTCCTGCAGTGCCTGTACGCGTTTGCCCAGCTCCCGATTCTCGGCCCGCAGCTCCTGGTTCTCGGCTGCCAGACCCCGGACTCTACTCTCTAGCCCCATCACGTACTCCTTCTTCTTTAGCCGATTAAGGCGGGCAGCGGCCGCCGCCGCTTTCCGGGGACTCTTTGTCGCCGCCTGGTTGTTGTCGCTGCCGCTGCCGCCACCACCGCCGCCTGCTCCGGGGGACTTTCTCCGCCTCTTTTCGGCGCTACCACTGTCACTGCTGCTGCTGCAGCCTCCGATACCGTTTAACAGCCTCTGCAGCAGGTCAGAGAAGCGCTGCATTTCAGCTGCAGCGGCCTCGTCGTCGTCGTCCCCTCTCCACAGGCCGCCGCTATCCGAGCCTCCACCAGAGGAGGAGAGAGGCCCCGGCGAGCTAAGCCCGGGCTCCAGGGGCCAGTCCGGCTGCCTGGGGTCCAGGAGATCCGCCAATTCCAGCCCAGACAGAAAGTCCATATCCTCCGTCTCTTCCCCCGGGAGGCTGGCGATCGCCTCCTCCTCCATCTCCTCGGGCGAGGGCGCGCGCACGGCCACTCCGCCGCGGCTCCCCCTCCTGGCTTCCAACTCGCCCTCGTCGCCAAGCGGCTGCTTGCGGCCGGGAGATCCGGCCGCTGCCGTCTCCTTCTCCCCCGCCGCCGCCGCCGCCCGAGTCAGGTCCGAGGGCAGCGAGCAGGTTGCAGCCGGCGCCGGGCTCTCACTGCGGGTTGGGGAGTTGCTGCCCGAGGCTGCCAGCAGCTTGGTCAGGCTATGCCTCATGAGGCCCGGCGGCGGGCCGCAGTAGGCCCCGGCCACTCAGACAGGGCCTCAAGGGCTCCCAGTACCCCAGGCCCCAGGGCTGGTAGCCTCCGGCACTGGCCAAAACGAAACGGAGGGAAGGTCAGAGTCGCCTCCCGCCTCACTTGGTTGGTCGACCCCCCGCGCCAGGGCGCGGGGAGGGACCGGAGAACCAAGCAGTAAGGCCGAGCGATGACTCGACCGCGCCACCCAGACAACGGCCTGGCCGGAAGTCAGTCGTTTTCGCCTCAGCCCCGCCTCCCGCGTTTCGCGCGCCACTAAGGCCGTAGTATCGCGAGATTTGAGGGTGCTTTGGCACGGGAGTAATTCCAGCTTTCTGGTGATGTCATAATAACTGGCAAAAATAGCAACAGACTCTAGGTTTATCCACCCTAATTCAATAATACTATTTAAAACCCAGACTCAACAATTCAACACATTTTGCCATTTTTTTTTCTCTTTCTATAAATGCTTGTAAATTTTTTTTGATGAATCATCCTAAATCTGCAGATAAGACACCACACCCCTACGTACTTAAGTGTGCATCTCTAAAACTAAGGACATTTTTTCATAATCATAATACTCAGCACGTCTTCAGAAAATTAATCATTTACTAATACGGTTTAATACCTGGGCCATTCTAGATGTCCTCAGTTGGATGACGGATATGCTAATTACCCTAACCTGATCACTACATTCCATAAGTATGGAAGCATCACTATGTCTGACATGAATGACAATTATTATTTGTCAATGAAAAAAATTAAAACACAAAGCAAAATGAATGTAGAATACAACATTGCTTACAAAAATTGTCTTCAGTTGTTCTTGTCATTTTTTTATTAGTAGATATTTTGTTTTGAGCCAGCAACCAATCAGTACTTACTACAGTAGGGTAACAAACAAACAAATCTCTGACAACTAGAACCATGGAAGGACATGAAGAGAGGGTACTCATGCTTGTACGCCTGAAAACAAAGACTGCAAAAACCATAAAGACCATCACAACCTTATACAAAAAAAGCCTCTGCAAGGATGTCTGCCCAGAAACTGTCTGTCCAACCTTCAACTGAGGTCACCCGTTATTGACCTTTGTAGCCAAGGGAATTATTTCAAAAGAAGTATGTAATCATCCTCATTTTTTTTTCCTTTAAAACCCTTTGTCTTCCTTTGCCTTCTTGAATATGCACATAGTGTACTATGGCATTTGTTTTCCCATTGAAATGCTCTATTCTCAAAACATAACTTTTATTTTAGAGACTTTTCTGTTTGTTACTTAGGTTCACAACCCACAAGGGATTTGAGATTTGAAGCAGTTTATAAATACATAAGAATATAGTAAAACAAAACATTTTTAATTTTTAAAAAGCAAGGCCAATAAAAAAAGATTACTAGGAAGAGAAGGAATTGTGAAAGGGGAAAAGGTTAATATAGGAATTGGATGGATGCAGTATCTTACTCAGTTGTTTGAGTTGGGCTAAAAATTGTTTCCTGACAGCCCAAACGAAAAAAGAGAAATGAACTTTCCTTTGTTCATGAGTAAAGTACATATGAATTCTTTAACCACTTCTCTAGTTCCTAAACCTTAAAGAAACTTCTCTATAGGATACTGAATGATTTTTAAACCTTAAAAAAAGAGTTCTCTATAAGATACTGAATAATCTAAGAAATACTGTTTGAGCCCAGGAGTTCCAGACCAGCCTGGGCAACATAGAGACACCAACCCCTCCAACCCCAGCCCCTCCACCCCCAACCAATCCCTGCCCACTACCATGCCCGGCTATTTTTTGTATTTTTAGTAGAGATGGGGCTTCACCATGTTGGCCAAGCTGGTCTCGAACTCCTGACCTCTGGTGATCTGCCCCCCTCAGCTTCCCAAAGTGCTGGGATTGCAAGCGTGAGCCACCGTACCTGACCAGATTTGCTTTCATTTGATTATTGGAAAGGTGAATGTTTGTCACATGACCAATTTGACTTCTAATGTGAATTGGATTTTTCACTTCCGTAACCCATTTTTCTTTGAAGTAGGGGAAAATGTTTTCTTCTTGATTTATGTGAACTGTTTACATTATAAGGAAAACATTCCTTTGTTTCTTATATTTTCCAACTTTTCAAAAAAAATCATTTTACCATTTACTAGAGGTGGAGCTGTAAAATTGCTTTTTAGGCTATAATTTTTAAATATTCAGTTTATCAAAGACCACACTCAGGGGCTCACACCTGTAATCCCAGCACTTTGGGAGGCCAAGACAGGCAGAATACTTAAGGACAAGAGTTTGAGACCAGCCTGGACAACATGGTGAAACCCCTGTCTCTACTAAAAATACAAAAACATTAGAAAAAAAACAAATTAGCTGCGTGTGGTAACGCATGCCTATAATCCCAGCTACTTAGGAGACAGAGGCACGAGAATCGCTTGAACCTTGGAGGTCAAGGTTGCAGTAAGCCAAGATCATGCCATTGCACTTCAGCCTGGGCAAAAGAGTAAGACTATGTCTAAAAAATAAAAATTAAAAAACCAACTTATCAATTCATTGAATAATCCATACTTGTCCAAACATGTATACCATATATTAAATTCTTACAAACACTTGGATCTATTTCTGGTCTTTATCTAGTTCATTGATCAGTTCAGCAATTCTAGAAGCATAATCATTCCCCTTTTTTATTGGAGTTTATATTACATTTTCCTATCTTATATGGCAAGTCCCTCTTTGTTACTTTTACTTTCTCAGAATTTTCTAGCTATACTTAACTATTTATTTCTCCATATAACTTTAGAAGACTTTCCAAGTTCAAAAAAACCAGAATTTTCATGGAAATTTCATTAAATTTATTCATTTCTTTTACCTAGTTTTTATGCAAACTTTTTTTCTTCTACCTAGTTTTTATGCAAACTTTGCATAAAATAGATTTCATCCATTCTGTTTCTAACGGTTATTGTTACCATGTAAGATAGCGATTTATCTTTTCTGTTAAATTTTAACTGACTAGTGCACCAAACTTTCTTTTCAGCTTATTTATTCATTTTAATAATTACATAACCTTATTATATATATTTTGCTTCCTTCTTTGCAATATTTGTTATTATCTTGACTGATAATAAAATGACACTTCCAGATTCATGTCTAATAATAGTGTTTATAGCCAACTTCCTTGTCTTATTCCTGACTTAAACAGGAATGCCTTTACTATCTAGCTATTGATTTCAGATCAGTATTTTTATTACATTAAGAAACATGCTATTTGTATTTTACATGGAGATTTTAACAACATGAATGGCTATTTTATTAAATGATTTACAGCATGTGTCAGAATTCAACTATATTCCAAGTCTTTGGAGGGAAAGAGCTATAAAGCCATGTAAGAACTGTGTGAGGTTCACTAGCTTAAGATAATTGTGAGTGAAACTTAAACTTTATAACTCTGTATATTGGGGAGTCAGTTTGAAAAACATCTGTTCAGCTTCCCATAGCAAAATAAAGGTTATGCAAAACTTGATCTATCTCATGCATCTATACTACTCTGCATCTGTCTAGAATTGCAAGACCAAAGCAAGAAAATCATTTATTCAGTCATTCTATATGCATGCGCGCGCGCGCGCACACACACACACACAGGGTATATTTTGAGTTAGACTTAAATACTGTGGCTATAATGATGAGCAAGGTCGATAAAGTTCTCATGGAGCCAACTTTGTAGTGAAAGAAGTCAGCAAATAAATAAGACAATTTTATAAAAATCTGATACAGATTTTTTTTAAAGGGTCACCCAATTGAAAATAATCTATGATTATTTTAGATTGGATAGCCAATGGACAATTCTCTGAGGATTTCAGCCGAAACCTCAATAGTGTGTTAAGAAACAAAGACAAAAAAGTTGGAGCAGTGTGGGTAAGAAGATAACTCATAGGACATGTGTTAGTATACACACTATTTACAACTGAATTAATTGTTTTTTGTTTGTTTTTTTGAGATGGAGTCTCACTCTGTTGCCCAGGCTGGAGGGCAGTGGCATGATCTTGGCTCACTGCAACCTCTACCTCCTGGGTTCAAGCGATTTTCCTGCCTCAGCCTCCCAAGTAGCTAGGATTACAGGTGCCTGCCACTATGTCTGGCTAATTTTTGTATTTTTTAGTAGAGACGAGGTTTCACCATGTTGGCCAGGCTGGTCTTGAACTCCTGACCTCATGATCTGACAGTCTCAACTTCCTGAAGTGCTGGGATTACAGGTGTGAGCCACCGCACCTGGCCTAATTACATTTATAAATACACAAGCATTTCATTGGAACTTGAAAGAATAAAAATCCTGAAAGTTTCTAGCAAGAATGTAATACAAAATGAAAATTAATTTAAGACATGCAGAGGGCCACTGATACTTAGTTTCATATTCTTTATTTCCCATTAACACATTAATCCCCTGACAATAAGATCTCAAGTTCTTTAACCATAGATTTTCCAACCATAGGAAAAGAATGTCAACTCATCCCCTGAGACATGCATACATAAATTTTTCAGTTGGAGCACCAAAATACAATGTAGTGTCAATAACTAGATAGATTAGAATAGGTTGTCAGCTGAGAGTGAAGAGTAGGATAGGAGTTGTTATAGATTAAATCGTGTCCTTGAAAAATAGTATGTTGAAGTCCTAATCCCTAGTGCCTTAGAATGTGACCTTATTTGGCAACAGGATTTTTACAGAGATAATAGAGTTAAAATTAGCTTATTAGGATGGGCTCTAATTCAGTATGACTTTTGTCCTTGTAAAAAGAGAAAAACTGTACACAGAGACAAACACAATGGAAAGACAAATAGGTAGAGGATAAGCATGTGTATTAGTCCATTCTCACACTGCTACAAAGAACTGCCTAGGACTGGGTAATTTATACAGAAAAAAAGAGGTTTAATGGACTCACAGTTCCACATGGCTGAGAAGGCCTCACAATCATGGTGGAAGGCAAAGGAGAAGCAAAGGCATGTCTTACATGGTGGCAGGCAAGAGAGCATATGCAGGGGAACTGCCCTTTACAAAATCATCAGATTGTGTGAGACTTATTCACTACCATGAGAACAGCATAGAAAAAGCCTGCCCCCATGATTCACTTACCTCTCACTGGGTCCCTTCCATGACATGTGGGGATTATGGTAGCTACAATTCAAGAATGACATTTGGATGGGGACACAGCCAAACCACATAATTCTACTCCTGGCCCCTCCCAAATCTCATGTCCTCACATTTCAAAACCAATCATTCCTACCCAACAGTCCCCAAAGTCTTAACTCATTTCAGCATTAACTCAAAAGTCTACAGTCCAAAGTTTCATCCAAGGCAAGGCAAGTCCCTTCTGCCTATAAGCCTGAAAAATCAAAAGCAAGTTAGTTACTTCCTAGATACAATGGGGATATAAGCACTGGGTAAATACACCCATTCCAAATGGGAAAACTTGCCCCATGCAAGTCAAAAATCCAGCAGGGTAGTCAAATCTTAAATCTCCATAATGATCTCTTTTGACTCTATGTCTTACATCTAGGTCATACTGATGTAAGACGTGGGTTCCCATGGTTTTGGGCAGCTCCACCCCTGTGGCTTTGCAGGGTACAGGCCCCCTCCTGGCAGCGTTCATGGCTGGCATTTAGTGTCTGTGGCTTTTCCAGGTACAGAGTGCAAGTTGTTGATAGATCTACCATTCTGGGGTATGGAGGACGGTGACCCTCTTCTCACAGCTCCAACAGGCAGTGCCCCAGTGGGGGCTCTGTGTGGGAACTCTGATCCCACATTTCCCTACTGTACTGCCCTAGCAGAGGTTCTCCATGGGAGCCCAGCTTCTGCAGCAAACTTATGTCTGGACGGTCAAGGGTTTCCATACATCCCCTAAAATCTAGGTGGAGGTTCCCAAACCTCAGTTTTTGACTTCTTTATACCCACAGGCTCATCTCACATGGAAGCTGCCAAGGCTTGGCGCTTGCACCCTCTGAAGCCACAGGCTGAGCTGTACCTTGGCCTCTTTTATCCACAGCTGGAGCAGCTGGGATGCAGGGCACCATGTCCCTAGGCTGTACACAGCAGGGGGCCCTGGGCCTGGCCCATTAAACCATTTTCTGTTCCCAGGTCTCTGGGCCTGTCATGGGAGGGACTGTAGTGAAGGTCTCTAACATGCCTTGGAGACATTTTCTCCATGTCTTCGTGATTAACATGTTGCTCTTAGTTACTTATGCAAATTTCAGCAGCCAGCTTGAATTTCTCCCAAGAAAATAGTCTTTTTCCTTCCTATTGCATCATCAGGCTACACATTTTCCAAACTTCTATGTTCTGCTTCCTCTTGAATTCTTTGCTACTTAGAAATGTCTTCTGCCAGATACCCAAACCATATCTCTCAAGTTCAAAGTTCCCCGCAAACCTTTAGGGCAGGGGCAAAATGCCACCAGTCTCTTTGCTAAAGCGTAACAAGAGTCACCTTTGCTCCAGTTCCCAACAAGTTCCTCATCTCCATCTGAAACCATCTCAGCCTGGACTTTATTGTCCATATCACTATCAGCATTTTGATCAAAGCCACTCAACAAGTCTCTAGGAAGTTCCAAACTTTTTTCACATGTTCCTATCTTCTTCTGAGCCTTCTAAACTGTTCCAACCTCTGCCTGTTACCCAATTCCAAAGTTGCTTCCACATTTTTAAGTATCTTTACAGCAGCACCCCACTATCCAATACCAATTTACTGTATTAGTCCATTCTCACGCTGCTATAAAGAACCACTTGAGACTAGTTAATTTATAAAGAAAAAGAGGTTTAATGGACTCACAGCTCTGCATGCCTAGGGAGGCCTCACAATCATGTGGAAAGACAAAGGAGGAGCAAAGGCATGTCTTACATGGTGGCAGGCAAGAGAACATATGTAGAGAAAATGCCCTTTACAAAACCATCAGATCTCATGAGACTTATGCACTATCATGAGAACAGCAAGGGAAAAAACCCACCCCCATGATTCAATCACCTCCCATCAGGTCCCTTCCACAACATGTGGGGATTATGGAGCTACAATTTAAGATGACATTTGGGTGGTAACACGGCCAAACAATATCACTGTGTGACTGAAACGATCTGTCTACAAGCCAAGGAATGCCAAGAATTGCCAGCAAACACCAGAAACTAGAAGCAAGGAAAAATTCTCCCCTAAAGCCATTGGAGAAAGCAAGGCCTTGCCAACACCTTGGTTTTGGATTTCTAGCCCCTAGAACCATGACACAACAAATTTCTGTTATTTTAAACCACCTGATTTAGGGTACTGCTTTGTCATGGCAGCCATTAAGTAAAACTGTTAAAGGAGGTAAGAGGCTGACCAAATATTCCGAGAATCTAGCTAAGCATGGATTGTGTCATTCATTCAGTGCTCAACTGCAGGAAACAGAAAACACTCAGCTATTTTAGGAGGAATGCAGTTTAATTCAGAGAATGTAGTGCTTTAAAAGTCACTGGACAGACTGGAGGAGTGGGCATTAATCTGGATTATCAAGAATGCCTCTCAGCACAACATTGCCAAATAGACAGAGTTGGTAGCTACTCTCTCTGCCCCAGTTGGAAAAGTGATAGACAGCTGGAATGTTGACTTGAAGAAAACTCTGCTTCAGCTGTGATCTAGTGATAAGGAAAACTACTGCTCCTCCACAAATTCTCAACCTCAACTATTCCTTTCCTTTTCTTTTTTCTTTTTTTTTTTTTTTTTTTTTTTTTTTGAGATGGAGTCTCATTCTGTCACCCATCCTGGAGTGCAATGGGTTGATCTCGGCTCACTGCAACCTCCACCTCCTGGGTTCAAGTGATTCTCCTGCCTCAGCCTCCCAAGTAGCTGGGATTACAGGTGCCTGCCACCACGCCCAGCTCATTTTTGTATTTTTAGTAAAGACAAAGTCTCACCATATTGGTTAGGCTGGTCTCAAACTCCTGACCTCAGGAGTGGTAATTCACCCACCTCAGCCTGCCAAAGTGTTGGGATTACAGGTGTGAGCCACGATGCCTGGCTCAAACCCAACTATTGACTATCTTTCACTACCTAACAAGTTACCCAAAACTTTAAAAAGGCCAAATATCCAACAATAAACACTTGTTTATTACTGTGGTTTAAAACAAGGCATTTATTGTTGCTCACATTTTCTGTTGGTCAGAAATTTTTAAGTAGGTTAGCTAGGTAGTTTTGGCTCTGAAATCCTCATGGGGTTTAGTTGGATTTTGGCTTGGGCTGCAGTCCTTTGGAAAGCCTGACTGGTGCTAAAGAATCTATTTCCAAGTGGCTCATTCATATGGCTAACTGGTTGGTCATGGAGGAAGGTTTCAGCTCTTCCTCTGTGTGAGCCCATCCACAGAGCTATGTTGAGTGGCTACACTTCATGGTGGCTGTCTTCACCTAGAGCAAATGATCCACGAAATGAAGGAAAAAGCACCAATGTCTTTTATGACCTAGCCTCAGAGATGATATACAGTCACTTATGTAAGACTCTTTTGGTCACATGAGTCAGACCTTTATCATGATGGCAGAGGACAAGACAAGGATATGAGTACTAGGAGACAAGAATCATTAGACAGCCTATCTTAAGTGGCTGGCTCCCACATCCTATAAAGCTAATGAATGGGCATCAAGATGCTGTTGCAGAAAATCCTAATGTCTCCAAGAATACATTTGGCAGCTACACTAGCCAAAGAGGAAACCAAGGGTCCCTACCTCATTTGCACCTTCCAAATAGGGCTGCAGAGGAGTCTGGCAAATATAGTTTGCTTTTGTGTTTCTTTTGTTTCAGCTTTTACATTTCTGCAATACAGAAAAGCACACTGAAAGGGGGATTGGAATAGATAATGAGTTCAAGTCTATCAGATCCTCCCCAAAGACTATGACTTTATGGTACTCCAGCACCAACATACATTTATTGGATTTTCTATAGCAGAGAATTGGAAGTGATAGCAGGCAATGCATTAGTGTTTTCCTGAGTAAATACAGTAGAACGATAAATGTACAGGCATACCTCAGAGATACTGCAGATTTTATTTCAGACCACCACAATAAAGTGAATATCACGATTAAGTAAGTCAGGTGAATGTTTTGGCATTGTAGTGCATATAAATGTTTACACCATATTGTAGTCTACTAAGTGTGCAATAGCATTATGTCTTTAAAATGTGCATACCTTAATTTAAAAATATTTTATTGCTAAAAATGCCAACAATCATCTGAGCCTTCAGTGAGTCATAATCTTTTTGCTGGTGGTGGATCTTGCCTCAGTGTTGATGACTACTGACTCATTAAGGCAGTGGTTGCTGAAGGTTGGGGTGACTATGGCATCTCTTAAAATATGACAGTAAAGTCTGCTACATCAATTGACACTTCCTTTCATGAAAGATTTCTCTATACTGCGTGATGCTGTTTGATACCATTTTGCCCATGGGAGAACGTCTTTCAAAATTGGAGTCAATTCTCTCCAACCCTACTGCTGCTTTATCAACTAAGTTTATGTAATATTCTAAATCCGTTGTCATTCCAACAACGTTCACAGGATCTTCACCAGGAATAGATTCCATTCCAAGAAACCACTTTCTTAGTTCATCCATAAGAAGCAACTTCTCATCCATTCAAGTTTTGACTATAGCAATTCAGCCACATCTTCCAGCTCCAATTTTAATCCTAATTCTCTTCTTAGTTCTAACACATCTGCAGTCATTTCCTGCACTAAAGTCTTGAATCCTTCAAAGTCATCCGTGAAGGATGGAATCCTCTTCCAAACTTCCAAACAAATGTTCTTAATGGGATCTAGAATAGTGAATCCCTTCCAGAAGGTTTTCAATTTATTTTGCTTAGATCTATCAGATGGCAGCTTTGCCTTAATGTATTTCTTAATAAGACTTCAAAGTTGAAGCAACTCCTTGATTCATGGCCTGCAGAATGGATGTTGTGTTAGCAGGCATAAAAACAACTTTAATCTCCTTGTACATCTTAATTATAGCTCTTGAGTAACTGACTGCATTGTCAATGAGCAGTAACATTTGGAAAGGAATCTTTTTTTCTGAGCAGCAGCTCTCAACAGTGGCTTATAATATTCAGTAAACCATGCTGTAAACAGATGTGCTCTCATTCAGGCTCTGTCATTCCACTTACAGGGCACAGGCAGAGTAGATTCAGCATAATTCTTAAAGGCCCTAGGATTTATGGGAAGGTAAATGAGCACTGGCTTCAACTTAAAGTCACCAGCTGCATTAGTCCATTACCCCTAATAAGAAAGTCAGCCTGTCCTTTAAAGCTTTGATGCCAGGCATTGACTTCTGTAACTACTAAAGCCTGAGAAGGCATCTTCTTCCAATAAAAGGTCTTTTTATCCCAAATGAAAATTCATTGTTTAGTGTAGCCACTTTCATCAGTTATCTCAGCTGGATCTTCAGGAAAACTTGTTGCTGCTTCTCCATCAGCACTTGCTGCTTCACCTTGCACTTCTATGTTATAGAAATGGCTTTTTCTCTCTCACTTGGCTGTGGTATTCTTACTCCTCATTGCAAATTCCAAATCATTTCTTCTTTTCTCTCCTTCAGAACCCAAACCTCGTGAACCAACCTCTGCTAGCTTCTGCTAGCTTCCAGCTTTTCTTCTGCAGCTTCCTCACCTCTTTCAGCCTTCATAAAATTGAAGACAGCTAGGGCCTTGCTCTGGGTTTGGCTTTGGCTTAAAGGAATGTTGTGGCTGGTTTGATCCTCTATCCAGATCACTAAAACTTTTTCCATACCAGCAATAAGGCTTTGTTTCATTTTTTCTTTTTCTTTTTTGAGACGGAGTTTAGCTCTTGTTATCCAGGCTGGAGTGCAATGGCACGATCTCGGCTCACCGCAACCTCCACCTCCTGTGTTCAAGCAATTCTCCTGCCTCAGCCTCCCGAGTAGCTAGGATTACAGGCATGCACCACCATGCCCAGCTAATTTTTGTATTTTTAGTAGAGACAGGGTTTCACCATGTTGACTGGGATGGTCTCGATCTCTTGACCTCGTGATCCACCCTCCTCGGCCTCCCAAAGTGCTGGGATTATAGGCGTGAGCCACCGCAGCCAGCCTGTTTCATTTTCTTATCATTCAAGTGTTTACTGAAGTGGCCCATTTAATTTCCTTCAAACACTTTTCCTCTGCATTCATGACTTGGCTAACTGGTACAAATGGCCAAGATTTCAGTTTGTCTCTGCTTTCAACACACCTTCCTCACTAAGTTTAATCATTTCTAGCTTTTGACTTAAAGTGAGAGATCTGGAACTCTTTCACTTGAACACTTAGAGGCCATTGTAGGATTATTAATTGACCTAATTACAATATTGTGTCTGAGGGAATAGGAAGACCCAAGAAAAGGTGAAAGACTGAAGAATGGCCAGTCAGTGGAGCATTCAGAACACATAAAACATTCATCAATTAAGTTCGCCATCTTATATGGGTACTGTTCATAGTATCCCAAAACAATTACAATAGTAATATCAGAGATCACTGATCACAGATCACCATGACAGAGACACAAATAATGAAAAAGTCTAAAATAGTGTGAGAGTTACAAAACACAGATACACAAAGTGAGCACATGCTGTTGGAAAAATGGTGCTGACAGACGTGCTCAACTTATGGTTGCCACAAACCAATTTGTAAAAAGTGCCATATATGTGAAGCAGAAGAAAGTGAAATACAATAAAACAAGGCATGCCTGTAGTACAGAGATGAGGGTGCTCATTTTACTGTAGTTTGCCTGTTTACCCACGGAGTATAATTTTAACGGTTAGTGAGACCATGAGAGGACATTATGACTGGATGAAAATTGAAGAATCAGGTGATTGATGGTGTCTAGGCCACTAACGGGTATCTTATTACTTACAATAGGGGATATTACTTACAATATCCCCTTATTATGTTTATAAGCACTACATACACATTTGCATGAAATGTGCAATTCCTAGTGTGCTAGATGTATTATATTTCCACTCCTCTAACTCCTTCTCAAGAAGGCATTTCTGAATGCAACTCAATGAGAATTACACTATTGTGAACTAATCTGGAATATGTTTTATTTTAAAATGACCATCATTTGTAACCAACTGAAATAGTGAGAAATTACTAGTATATATCCCAACTAATCCAACCTCACAGTTGCTGCCACTGCAGTTGAGAACTGCTGCTTCAGTGGGGGAAAGGGAGCAGGCCTGGAAGTTTGAGCGTGAGAGATTTGGAAGAGTAGGAGCAAAGCTTTTCATATTCTGATAGTAAGGACTCCACTTCTCAAGTGGAAGTTGTTTCCTCTCACCGCAATGGGCACCCAGAAGCCAGAACTTGGCTGTGGTGCTCTTGCTTCTCATTGCCAATTCCTAACCATTCCTTCTCCTCTCTCCTTTAGAAATCCCAAATCTTTTAACATTTTAATTTCTTAAATATGGAAAATTTTTACTCTGACACAAAAGAGAATAATACACAGAATCCTTACAGACCCATCATCCAGATTTAACATTATCAAGATTTTTCCACACTTGCTTTATCCCCTTTTTTATTGCTGAAATATTTTAAAGTAAATAAATTGTAGATATCATGTCATTTCATCCCTATACATGTCCTTAGCTATAATGTCTTTTTTTTTTTTTTTTTTTCTGAGACAGGGTCTCATTTTGTTTCCCAGGCTGGAGTGCAATGGCCCAATCACGGCTCACTGCAGCCTTGACCACCCTGGGCTCAGGTGGTCCTCCTACCTCAGCCTCCTGAGTAGCTGGGACTACAGTCGCACACCGCTACACAGGGCTAATTTTTCTATTTTTTGTAGAGATGGAATTTTGTCCTGTTGCCCAGGCTGGTCTTAAGCTCCTGGGTTCAAGCAATCCACTTGCCTCAGTCTCCCAAAATGCTGGAATTACAGGTGTGAGCCACCACACCTGGCTGTAAAGTTATTTTTTTCTTTTTCTTTCTTTTTATTTTGATACAGAGTATCACTCTGTCAACCAGGCTGAAGTGCAGTGGCACAATCTTGGCTCACTGCAACCGCCGCCTCCCAGGTTCAAGCGATTCTCCTGCCTCAGCCTCCCGAGTAGCTGGGACACAGGCACCCACCACCACGACTAGCTAATTTTTTGTATTTTTAGTAGAGATGGTGTTTCACCATGTTGGCCTGGCTGATCTGGAACTCCTGACCTCAGGTAATCCACCTGCCTTGGCCTCTCCTAGTGCTGGGATTATGGGCATGAGCCACCATGCACAACCTAAGTCACTTTTTTCTATAACCACAATTCCTAATAAACATAAATTAATACAATTATGGATCTTGTTATCATTTAGTCCACATTCAGTTGTCTCAAAAATGTCTGTCTACAGATGACTTGACTGAATTGAGATCCAAACAATTCTACACATTCCAGT